GAAATATTCATTTATAAGATTAGAAAGCAACAGACGTCCTCCCCAAAGAGGAAAGAAAGGTAGCAGGTTATCGAATACTTTAAAAAGAGTTGAACAAAAACCAGATTCTACTCTGCATTTATTATTATTACTATCTTGTTTTTAAGACTTTTAGTTGGGCTATCTCTACATCTTTCCCAAAAATCTATCAATGTGCTCTAGCGTAAACATAATTGACGTGAACACATCAACTTCAGGTCGAGAAGAAAGCGATTCCAGAAGAAGATGGTATAATGGGATCTTGAGGAGTGGCAGTATGATAATATTTGATTTAGGAAGTTCCCCAATTCTCCACCACCATATTGCTAATTAAAATTTGAATTTACCTACGCAAGTTCCAAGCAGCCATGGAGCTCTTATCGTAGCCCTCTGATTACGTATCTATTCATTCCAGAATAGGATACTTCAGGATTTGTTGCCTCCAAAACGATCAGACCTTCCCGCGTGAGTGTGAATGTGGGTTCTTGTTGTGTTTTTGCACTTGGGGGCGTGTGCACGTACGGCTTGGAGACGGTAGCTGGCACAACCTTCCCTTTGCACGTACATTCCGTCGCATATAAATAGCGCGTTATCGTCGTCGGCAGCATCAGTTGGCCGCTTTCCTCTTCTGGCTCTGTCATGGCGATAGGGTCTTCAAGGGCAGTTCAAATTGTCCTGAGCAGCTCGTTCTTCTTACTCCAAAATGATTTTTAAAAAGTTATACTAAATTTCTCGTACTATGGAATGATGGGACGACTTATTAGGAGTTCGCATCCAATATATTTCATTCCACCTTCATTTGTCAGTTCTCCGATATCACGTAAGAGAAAATAAAAACATGTAAAACTGGAAGTCCAACCGACGAAATAATTTGATTGAAAGCGTCGCTTCAATGATTGCTCACATAAACGTTAAAAATCCAAAAGGTTTTCATTAGTGTGTATGCGTTACATCATGACTTTAATAAAGCTATGTTCGAGTCGGATCAATCCTTTCCCATCCACGAATTACAAAAGCTAGATATAACTCCCTAGGTTCACAAAATATGGTGTCTCCAGCTGATGTTAGAACGCTCACCATGGCTTCTATGGCCACCGTACCCGTTGCCAGCCCAACGGAAAAGACGCACCATGGCCAGGACTT